ACAATCCCATTTTTTTATCTTACTTTATTACTATAACATATTTTACCTACTTATCAATTTGACCAATTTTGTTCATGAAGTTTGTAATGTTTCGCAGAAGATTTTGTTTCGAACGACGCTGTTCAATGGAAAAATATTAAATATAAGCCATTTTATATAATAGACATTCCGAGAGTAAAACAAAATGTGTTTTACTGTTTGTGCATTTTAAAAACTGATTGTGAGTATAAAATCTTTAAATAGACATCTTAATAAAACTAGTATCAAATTTCGTTAATAAATGTTCAAAAATGTGGCTATTGAAATTTAGATGATTAGTATAATGTTAATTTTATGACTTATATTATCCGGGTGTTTTTTAGGCATGACGTTCATACATTTATGATCAGGTAATATTCTATTTTTATTTAAGACTGCAATTTTATTGTCATCATCCGGTTTTGATTATCCATGCGATATGATAAGTGTAAAAAGAAACTGTAGTTTCACGACGAAGTATATATATATATATATATACACACACACACAAGATGTTCGATTGATGTATGTCATAAAAGAAATCGCATATAAAAAAAAAGCTGAATCAAAAAGTGCTTTACAGTTTTTTAATATCTTTAATATTAAGCGAGATATTGCAAGTTTATGTTTGAATAATTTCTCAAATCAAGTACCCATGCATAATAAATGAAGTGCATGTCTGCATATTCCGTAAATAAAAAGAATTTTGCCTCGAAATTTCAAATGAAAATACTTGTGTACAACTTTAAATATATTATTGACTGCAGTTTTTTCCATATTCGTCATCCCCGTGTCGATGATCAAACTCAGATAACGATGCAAAAATGCAAATATAGAGAAATTAAATATTATCGTCTTGTATAGGCATATGTACCATATGTACATGTCTATGAAATATTATTATAATAATTAACATTATATTATGAACTAACCATGGCATCTAATTTCAATAGTCACGAATTTTTATAAGATCGATTATCTTTAATATTATCTTGTTGATATGATAAGGTTGAATCTTTGTTCCAAAGTTCTTGTTGCTTTTAAAAGCCTCCCGAAGTTTATCTTTCATATGTTTAAGTAGTTCATTTGGAATTTCTGGAAACAAACGGATCTCTTCCTTTAAAATATCTATGAGTCAGTAATCTTCGAAAAATCTTCGAAAAACAATGGACAGATCTCACATAAAAGCTGTGAAAGAGAAAATAAAGTTTTATACCAACCGATCGCCGTGCAGTCTATCGCGAGGATCTGTCATCGGATTTCCTGTTTGCGGTCTGTAACAAATCTTGACGCAGTTACTGACGATAATACGATGGCATAATGGTACATATAATCATTTATATTTAGAATCTCTGACTGACCAGCTACGTAATGAATACGTAATTAATTCCGCATCGCTCGGGATCTTTGTAGCAAGCGGTCTACCAATTTGTAAACTTTTGTTTTATTTCCAACATATTTGCACCACACTTTTTGTATTTTTTATACATTTTATGTTTATACACTTTATGTCAGATTGGAGATTTTCTCTCAGGAATAGATTGGGAAGAATTTTAATCGCAATTTCGAGAAAAGACCGTGAAAGAAAATGATTAACAAAATGTAGAAGTATGAAAAGTTTTTTAGTGATTTATGAAAAAAATAACGTTATTTTAACAGCAATCTAATCAAAAATAATCTTGTTGATTCAGTAACAATAAAATAAATACGTGATACTCCTGTTTTAGTAAAATATTATTTGTTTCATTATTTGTTATTAAATTAATAATATTATTTTTAATGAGACCAATACTGAAATATAACATCATTTTTTTCCATGTGTAAGGAAAAATGCTGCAGGCTCGCGTAACGCGATGTTTTGGTAAAACTTCGGATTAAGGGCAATCTCACCGATTTCAATGACTTTGATATATATTGTCAGGGTCATGACCCCGAGTGACCTCAGAAGGTTTCAGCCGTCGCTCGTTAAAAAGTTATTAACAAAAAAAAGTTTGGAAAATATAGCACCTATTTTGAGTATTGGAAGGCATAAATGACTAATATATATATATGTCGAAATAGTTCAAGCATACACTTTTCACGCGAAACGAGGTGTCACATGGGTTCGTGGCATGCTTAAATTTACAAGCTCGTTTATATATGTACATACTAGCTTCATACTAGCTGATTATTTACATTCTGTAGTATTCGGTCTATTTGGCGTGTTTGTGCTCATATTCTATCAGTCATCTTTTGTCAATCGTTGTTGCAAGACTAATACGATTTAAAATAAAGCTTTACGAGTTTTTGGGAATATGTGATGATAAAAATAAACTTATTGATTATCTAATAAATCACAAAGTTCTGCTAAGTTCTGCGTGTTGTCCTCGATGTAATAATTTGATGAATTTTGATCGCAACTCTTTATTGTTTCGGTACAATGTAGAGTATATTCGTTTCGATAATTCTTTATCATCCTCCTGCGGTCACATGGGTTCGTGGCGTGCTTTACGAGCTCGTTTAAGTAGAGGTGGTATTAAACAAGATAAGTTAGTCGATCATTTATGTGAAAAGAATTGGAGGAGACCCATTTTATGTATTACTAGATGACATAAAATATGTGTATTCAGGAAATTAATAAAGAATATATAATGTTTTATTATGTATATATATAAACAAGCTTGTAAAGCACGTCACGAACCCATATGGCACCTCGTTTCGTGTAGAAAAAAGTGTGTATGCGTAAACTATTTCGACATATATATTAGTCATTTATGCCTTCTAATACTCAAAATAGCTGCTATATTTTCCAAACTTTTTTTGTTAATAACTTTTTAACGAATAACGAGCGACGGCTAAAACCTTTTAAATGTCACTCGGGGTCATGACCTTGACAACATATATCAAGGTCATTGAAATCGGTGAGGTCGCCCTTAATCCAAAGTTTTACTGATGTTCTTTGTTCGCTGTCGCCCAAGATAAAAATTGACGAACTCCAGAAGAGACAAGAAACATCACGTTACGCGACGGAATTGCGAAATACGAGATAGTCGCAAAGAGGTTAAGAGCAGAAAACAGAAACCAAAGAACACATTGTAGATTAATTAAGCTTTAACGGTTACGGGCACAAGAGATCATGTGTGAAGAGATAGGCGGCCAAATCTTTCGAAAATACATTTTGCAAAGTGTCTGTTACAAATTTTGTCGGCAAAATGCCAGCAGACATATAACAGGATCTGCTAAAGTCCGTATCAGACTACGGATTAGGATTGAGATTAGATTAATATTTGACCAATCAGATCAAAGTTTACTAAACTTGAGATTAATTCTTTTTATTCTTATTAGTTAAATTTTAATCCAATCTCAATCCGTAGTGTGATACAGGTTTAACGAAATATAATGGCAGATTGCAAAACTGAAGAATTAAATCTGCTTTTTTATAACTGTTTAAATACTTTAAATAACATAGAGTAACTCCGGTATATACGCCGCACCTAAGGAAAACTTAATTTATTGAGCACTATTTAATATGTTTAAGGCAAATGAATTATACCAATAAAAACTTTATACTGTCTACTACTATAAAAAAATTAAAAATATAAAATATTTATTCTTCGTATTTAATAAAAATAAACTTTTAGAGATCCTTGCATTTTTGTCATATATCCTATTTGCCATTTATCCCATAGGGGTGGAATAAATGATATTCATAGGTAGAATATGCGCCTTATAAAAAATTATAAGTTATGTTTATAAATGAGACAATAAAATGTCATAATAAGTTATAAAATGTGTGTAAAATGTTTATTAAAGTGTAAAAATAATAAACAAATTATAAAACTAAAAAATTAAAAAAAAAATAGACGAACGATAGATGCATTAAAGATTATTGTTATATGATCCAAAAAAAGAAGGAAAAATAACACATATTAAAAGATTTCGATTTTTACAGAGTGTTTATACTATGGCATAAATCCTGCACTCTAAAAATGCCACATATCCTAAACAGGTGGGATATACAAGATGTTAAACTAAACAATGGCGTTGTAGGTGTACTTATTTTATACGTACAAAGTCTAAATTTTTATGTGCGGCAAATGTTGTCACGAGTCGACCGTAGAAATCGATAACAAAATTATAATTTTTTTATTTTTTTTCGTTTTTGATGTAAAGTCGACTGCAGAGCCCTTCGTTTTTGTGCATACTTTAATTCTGTAAAAAAGTTCTTTTAATTCCGTAAAGCTAATTCAAAGTTTTGTGTGTTCAAAAAAATGTCGGTAATTTACTGCCAGTACTGCCACTACAGCATCTCCTTGACTCACGACGGTTTCGTTAATATTAACAGTAAAGGACTAAAATTACAACACAATACTAATGTGGCATAAAGGCACATAACAGAATAATTGCGAGCAAATACCTTTATTCCTTCGATTTTTTCTGACTTTTGCGATGTAAATCCCCGCGCGGCGTAAATATCGGGGTTACCCTAACTGTTTAAATACTTTAAATAACATAAATGACACATTTCGATCGTATAAAATAACAGATAATACTAGTAATCTATTGAGATTAGATTATATCAACAAGCTTTCCTGGAAGGACACGATTGAGTGGCACGGGAAGAAAAATGAAAATCAATTTAGAAATTCAGTATTCACCAATCTTTAATTTCAACAATGTGAATTTCGTAATTTCGAGAGATCAATTCAAATAGAAATTGACGTCAAAAGATAATATAATGACGCCTGGGGAACCAAAATAGACGTCATTATATGTTATCTTTTGACATTCTGCTATATTTAGAAACCAGCACGCGCCCTTTTTAAATTGTCGATTTCGATGAGTACAGTATTTTCGCCAGATTTGTTGGATCAGCTTTCCTATATCCTACGTTAAGCTAGCTAATCTATATCATCGCAGAAAAAAAATGCAAACGACCGGTGACGCGACTGATGATTGCAGATAAAGCTTCAGAAGCCGATAATAATGCGGCCGATAAGGCAAAACTGACATCAGTCTGCGGTCCGGTCGGAAGTCGTCATGTACCTAAATCGGTTTAAGTAGTCCACGAAGAGCTGCTTAAAGCTCACAAGCTGCGCAGTCACCGTGTGCTTCGGTAGCATTGACACTTTGCACAGTTATTCTCAGCTCGCTTTACATCGCGTATATCGCGTATATTACATCGCGCAAGTGATTGAAGAGAAGAGAAGTTTTTCTTAATAATGGGAAAATTTGCTGTAGTGCTTCTGACGCAGGCCCTCCTCATCTTACCGGTACATAACATTTTTCTTGGATCATTCGAGTCGATTTCATCAGAAACTTAAAAGTGCAGTTGCGCGTTAAGAAAAAAATTATTACGGTGTTTAACAGTGTTCAATAATAGATTTTATATCTGTTTTAATATATCAATTAATAGAATTTAATTTATAATATCGAATAAGTTAAATAAAAATGAAGAGAGAATACCTAACTGCGATACAAGCGAAACACGGGTTTGCGCAATCAGATAAGCGGCGATTGTCGAAAAAATCAATCGCAGCGATATGTAATATCGAGTGATCCCATTCGAGATAAATCATATGTAATCAATTGTTTTCTTTTCTACAAAACAAAATGCGATTTTGAAGTTATTAATCGCGACATTACCGAGATATAGAATATTGCACCGATAAAGGAGAATTAAGAACACGCTGGAGAAAAATGAAGCATTAAAGAACCGCATTTTTCCATTTTAGATTATTCTGGGGAGTCGTTTTCACAGTTATGAGTCTTACAAACAGTATTACAATAATCACGTTAATGGCGGATTGAAACCAACGACCGCTTCGTACGAAATGCCCAAGGAATCGTATTACAACCCTAATAAAGGTGACATATGAGATTCTGAAGCAGTATTTTAGACATTTGACGCGATTGTATTCCGTTCAAAATTAATTAATTCAAAATTCATCTTAAGTCACATAATTTATACCTCAGAAATTATTTATAATATCTATATTCTTGCGATCTTAAAATATAACATTTTAGTGGATACATCTGTAAATAACGGTATACATGCGAGCATGGATCGTTTTGGATTTTCGGACGTATCGCAAATGAGAAACGGCAACGATAATTACGCAGGAGTGACACACTGCGATCGAAGGAGACAAACTTATTGCGAGGACGTCCCGAATTATCCTCAGGAATTTGTGAACCAGATGCTCGCCGCGAATTCCAGCCTGCTATATTACGCGTCTGAGGACTTTGTTAGTATAGACCTATAAATTATCGTTTACTCTTGAAACTAGAAAGAGATTTTAATCCAGAATTTTCTCTTTCATTAAATAGAAGGAGAGCAACCTTACGCCGAAAATAGACGACCAAGAGACTCCACTTTGTCTGTCTATGGTAAAAATTATCTTTAAACTGTGATCTATTATTGCATGTAATATGTATTAATGCACAGTTCTAAAATTGTCTTTAAAAAACGACATAAAATTCCAGGAGAAATTGATTTATCCAAAAAAAGCCGTAAACAGGAATAACGTGTGGCTGTACATCCTCCAGTCGGAGGAGCCGAAGTTCTCTCAAGGTTTACGAATCGAAGCTTGCTCGTGAGTGAAGAAAAAACGCTATATATAAATCAGAGTTTTACAGTACTTTAATATATATATATATATATATATATATATATATATATATATATATATA